CAGCTAAATTCACGAGAGGTATTTGTCTGTAGGTTTTTTTTATTTCTTGTGACGTCTTTGTATAGTTTTGGTGTTTGTAATACTGGTTTCATAAAATGAGCTGGAAAATATTCCTGATTCTATTTTTTTCTAAGTTGTTGAATTATGAGTTAAAGTTGTTAGTAGTATTCCCTTTTTAAAAGAGATTAAGATATGTCACATAACATAAAACTAACCATTTTACTTCAAATGACCATTATATCTATTACTGTGGGCAAGAATCCCTTAGAAGAAATGGAGTAGCTCTTATAGTCAACAAAAGAGTCAGAAATGCAGTACTTGGGTGCAGTCTCAAAAATGACAGAATGAACTTTGTTCATTTCCAAGGCAAACCATTCAGTATCACAGTAATCCAAGTCTATCCCCCAACCACTAATGCTGAAGAAGGTGAAGCTGAACGGTTCTGTGAAGACCTACAAGACCTTCTAGAACTAACACCAAAAAAAGATGTCCTTTTCATCATAGGGGACGGGAATGCAAAAGTAGGAAGTCAAGAGATACTTGAAGTAACAGGCAAGTTTGGCGTTGGAATACAAAATAAAGCAGGGTAAAGGCTAACAGAGTTTTGCCAAGAGAACTCACTGGTCATTGCAAAACCTTCTTCCAACAACACAAGAGATGACTCTACACATGGACATCACTAGATGGTCAGTACTGAAATTAGATTGATTATATTCTTGGCAGCCAAAGATAGAGGAACTATACAGTCAGTAAAAATAAGACTTGGAGCTGACTGTGGTTCAAATCATGAGCTCCTTATTGCAAAATTCAGACTTAAGTTTAAGAAAGTAAGGAAAACCAGTAGACCATTCTGGTATGATCTAAATCAAATCCCTTATGATTATACAGTGGAAGTGACAAATAGATTCAAGGGATTAGATCTGATAGAGTGCCTGAAGAACTGTGGATGGAGGTTCATGCCATTGTATAGGAGGCAGTGATCAAGACCATCCCTGAGAAAAGGAAATGCAAAGGCAAAATGGTTGTCTGAGGATATCTTACAAATAGCTAAGAAAAGAAGAGAAGCAAAAGGCAAAGGAGAAAAGGAAAGATAAACCCATCTGAATGCAGAGTTCCAAAGAATAGCAAGAAGAGATAAGAAAGCCTTCCATGTGATCAATGCAAAGAAAGAGGGAAACAACAGAATGGGAAAGACTGGAGATCTCTTCAAGAAAATAAGAGATACCAAGGGAACATTTCATGCAAAGATGGGCTCAATAAAGGACAGAAATGGTATGAACCTAATAGAAGCAGAAGATATTAAGAAGAGGTGGCAAGAATACACAGAAGAACTATACAAAAAAATATCAGGACCCAGATAACCACGATGGTGTGATCACTCACCTACAGCCAGATCTTCTGGAATGTGAAGTCAAGTGGGCCTTAGGAAGCATCACTATGAACAAAGCTAGTGGAGGTGATGGAATTTCAGGTGAGCTATTTCAAATCCTAAAAGATGATGCTGTGAAAGTGTTGCACTCAATATGCCAGCAAATTTGGTAAACTCAGCAGTGGCCACAGGATTGGAAAAGGTCAATTTTTATTCCAATCCCAAAGAAAGTCAATGCCAAAGAATGTTCAAACTACTGCACAATTGCACTCATCTCACACGCTAGCAAAGTAATGCTCAAAATTCTCCAAGCCAGGTTTTAACAGTATGTGAACTGTGAACTTCCAGTTGTTCAGGCTGGATTTAGAAAAGGCAGGGGACCAATTAAGATAAATAACTTAATTTAAAAAAATAGAAAAGTCAGGGGAATCAGAGATCAAATTGCCATCATCTATTGGATCATTGAAAAAGCAAGAGAGTTGCAGGCAAACATCTACATCTGCTTTATTGACTACGCCAAAGCTTTTGACTGTGGATCACAACAAACTGTGGAAAAATTCTTCAAGAGATGGGAATCCCAGACCACCTGACCTGCCTCCTGAGAAATCTGTATGCAGGTCAAGAAGCAATAGCTAGAACCAGACATGGAACAACAGACTGGTTCCAAATTGGGAAAGGAGTACTTCTAGGCTGTTTATTGTCACCCGGCTTATTTAACTTATATGCAGAGTACATCATGGGAAATGCCGGGCTGGATGAAGCCCAAGGTGGAATTAAGATTGCCAGGAGAAATATCAATAACCTCAGATATGCAGATGACACCACCCTTACGGGAAAAAGTGAAGAAGAACTAAAGAGCCTCTTGATGAAAGTGAAAGAGGAGAGTGAAAAAGCTGTCTTAAAACAGCATTCAAAAAAGCAAAGGTCATTGCATCAGGTCAATGCAAACAGTGACAGACTTTATTTTCTTGGGCTCCAAAATCACTGAAGATGGTGACTGCAGCCATGAAATTAAAAAGCACTTGCTCCTTGGAAGAAAAGCTATGACCAACCTAGACAGCATATTAAAAAGCAGAGACATTACTTTACCAACAGAAGTCCATCTAGTCAAAGCTATGGTTTTTCCAGTAGTCATGTATGGATGTGAGAGTTGGACTGTAAAGACAGCTGAGTGCCGAAGAATTGATGCTTTTGAACTGTGGTGTTGGAGAAGACTCTTGAGAGTCCCTTGGACAGCAAGGAGATCCAACCAGTCCATCCTAAAGGAAATCAGTCCTGAATATTCATTGGAAGCACTGTTGCTGAAGCTGAAACTCCAATAGTTTGGCCACCTGATGCGAAGAACTGACTCACTGGAAAAGACCCTGAGTTTGGGAAAGATTGAAGGCAGGAGGAGAAGGGGATGACAGAGGATAAGATGGTTGAATGGCATCACTGACTCAATGGACATGAGTTTGAGCAAGCTCCAGGAGTTGGTGATAGACAGGGAAGCCTGGTATGCTGCAGTCCATGGGGTCGCAAAGAGTAGGAAATGACTGAGCGACTGAACTGACTGAACCATTTCTATGTGTAAAATTTAGTGTTTCTTTCTTTCTTTTTTTTTTTTAAAGTATATTTGCAGTGTTTTGCATTCATCTTCATTGTCTTATTTCAGATCACTTTCCTCACCCCAGAAAGAAACCGTACCCATTAAGCAGTGACCTCCCATTCTCCTCTTCTCCTAGCCTTTGGTAACCACTAATCTGTTTTCTGTGTTTATGTATTTGCCTGTTCTGGACGTTTCATAGATATAGAGTCATAGAATATATGGTTTTTTGTGATGGCTTTATATCACATAGTGTGTTTTCAGTGTTTATTCATGTTGTTGCATGTATCAGCACTTGCTCCTTGGTTTATGGTCCCGTTACTCTGACTTTTGCTTTCATTGCTTCACCTTCTCTGACTTGCCACTCCTGTGCCTCTTCTAGAAAGACCCTTGTGATTACATTGGGCTCACCTAGATAGATAGATGATCTGGGATAATCTTTCCACCCTTATTTTAATTTAATAACACTTGCAAAGTCTTTACCATTTATGTTAGCATTTATGAGTCTCAAGGATTAGAATGTGGTTATCTTTAGAGAGGGGGTTGGTTAATTATTCTACCTACCACAGGGATTTTAGAGGTTTTACTGCTATCCCATTTCTCCCTGAGGCTCTGTTCTGTTTTTTTTTTTCAGTCTCTCTGTTTTAAATTGAGTAAAACTATTGACTTTATCCTCAAGTTCACTAAATTTATCCTCTGTTATCTTTATTTTTCTATTGAGCTTTCTCCAGCAAGGTTTTTTTTCCTTAAATTTTGGAAATTATATGTTTCAGTTGTGTAATTTCCAGTTGGTACTTAAAAAAAAAACTTCTCTTTGTTAACATTTTTATATTTTTAAAATTTGTTTTCAGATAATTCTTAACTGTTTATTGAAGCATTTTTGTGATGGCTGCTTAAAATTCTTGTCAGAAATTCCAACTAGTGATTCATTTTGGTGTTTGCATCAGTGTGATTGTCTTCTCATTCAAGTGTGTTTTCCCTGGCTCTTGTTGTGACAATGTGATTTTCTTTTTTTAAATTATATTCTAGACGTTTAGGATATTAATGTTAGGAGACTTCTGATCCTATTTGAAATTTCTATTTTAGTAGGCAGTTACTCTGCTTGGGCTTAGCGTGTAAGTCCTGGCCTACTTTGGTGAGCTCGGTAATTCCTGTGATAATTGAGTTTTCAGAGTTCTGGCAGTGTTGTTCTCCTCTGCATTATTCTTCTGGCCCTGCAGGGACTCCTGTTTCATCTCTACAGGTGTTACCTGGACTGACCGATGGGTGTCTGTTCAGTTCCCCCAACTCCCCTTCCCCCACCCCAGGTGTGGGGCAGGGAACTAGTTGTCCCTTTGGTGCATCTAGTCAACTGTTCTCTGGATGTGGGGTGCAGACGCTGCTGGTGCTGAAGCTGTGGCCTGGCTGGGTTGTCCCGATGGGGTTTGAGAAATCTATCTTCTAGATCACTACTGAGCTTCCCCTTTCACAGTACTTTGTCCAGAAAGGATGTTTCACAGTTGTTTGTTTATTTGTCTTTCTATCCTGGTTGGTGGTTCTGGGAGGCAGGCTCTTCTGGTGTCCACTCGTGGATAGGTAGGAGATAAAAGAAAAACCCAGGGAGCTCACAGTGATGCTTTTCTGCACATCCTGAGGGTCCTTAGCTATTCTATCTACTTCTTTCTACCTCTCTGATTGTCTGTTAGATTATCTTTATGATTGTCTGTTGAATTATTTCTATGATATTTAGTTGTATTTAGAAGAGAAGAGCAGGGAAATGTGAGCCTATACTATAATATTCTAGAACTTCTAGAAGTCTAACAATTTTTATTTCAGTGTATGTGTGCTGGTATTTATTGATAGTTCTATGAATGGTCAAGGCTTTTGCTTTTACTGACACCCTACTTTTCAGAGTGTTTCTCTGCATCTGTTGTTGAGTGTTGTCTGAACAAGTTAAGAAGTATTCTTTTGTTTAAATTGTGTGCCCTTAAATTGTGTAGGAGTCAGAAATGTCTTGTTTTAATCGCTGCATCTTTTTATTTACTCGTTTTATTTTTTTATCTTTAGGGAGTGGAGCAACGGCTGTGGTCCAAGCAGCGTATTGTGCCCCTAAAAAGGAGAAGGTGGCAATCAAACGGATAAACCTTGAGAAATGTCAGACTAGCATGGATGAACTCCTGGTATGCACTTCTCATATTTCTTGTATATTCATGTTAGAGTGGGAAATAACTTGAAGTTTTTTATTTTTTTTAAATTAAACTTGTGATTTCTTCATTAATAAGTATTGCTTATTGTAAAATTTATAAAATCCAAGTAACTAGAGAGGAAGAAAATCAGTTATAATTCTCTCATTCTGAGATTGACACTAAATGTGTTATAAGTGCACATTTAAGTCTTTGTATTTTTATGATGATAATGTCATATACTTGTTCTTGTCTTTAAAAAATTTATCACAGAATTCCATGTCTATAAATATGAATATAGTTTTCAATATGTATGTAGTGTTCTGTTGAATATTTCATCTGACCTGTTCTCTGGTATTGAATGATTTTTGTGTTCTCTTTATTGTTATAAACAGTGCTTGCTTGCTTCTTTCTCTCTTTAAAATAGTATCATGCATTTGTGATTCCTGGGTCAAATGGAGCATCCTTTAAAAGGCTTTGGTCTTCTAGGAACGTGGGACCAATCTGCATTCTGACCATTGATGCAGATTGAGAGCATCATTGGCTGCATTGGCTCCCCCAAGAGTCAGGGAGAAGAAAGGGGGCCCCGAGAATCTACAGCTGTGTGAGGTTTCTGCGGGGTTAAGAACCATCAGCACAGGCATTGTTTGGCAGTTCTTTTCTACTCCGTGACGCCTAGAGCAGTTTTAAGTATGTAGTAAGTATTCAGCAAGCGGAACCCACATCATTCGATGTCTCAAATCCTCGACTTCTTTGCCTTGAAGTGGAAGTATATCTATCTGCTTCTGCTTTGTATACCTCATGAGGTTTTTCTTGAAGATCAAATGATGCAGTACTGGAAAACCATAAACTCCCCCTCAAATGTGAATTAATATTGTTAAATTGTTAATTTCTCTCAGATCATGCACAGTTACAGTAGAAAGGGCCGAAACTAAGACTGGGATGCTTTGTCAGTCCAGAATTCTTTTCCATTGTCCCAGATTGGGTTTAATTTGTAGTATAACTGTGATAAAGAGATAATATAATTATATACTGAATTTTCAGCAGATGGGGCAGATGTATTTCTTCAGAAATTGGTAATGCATATGCAGAAGCTGAAGAATTGGGTTGCTAGAGTGATCTTGAGTTGTTTGGTGAGAGAACACATACTTGGAAGGAGATGCTGATTGAAACATTATGTGGTGAACTTGGGTTTACAGCTGCCAGCAAGGACCTTAGAGCACCACTTGGACATGTGAACTGCAGGGATCATAAAAGATGCCTAAATTGTAAACTAATTCTTATTAAAGAAAAACAGTATTTTTAATCCATGTATTAACACTGGAATTTGAAAAGTCCAATATGAATTCCTATCATTTGCCATTTACTTTTCTGTCATGTCTGACTCTTAGCAACCCCATGGACTGCAGCCTACCAGGCTCCTCCATCCATGGGATTTTCCAGGCAGGAGTACTGGAGTGGGGTGCCATTGCCTTCTCCTCATAATCCATAAGGATGGTATAAAGAGGAATGAACGTCTTTTTATTTACTACTTTATGACTAAAGCAACTAAGGCTCAAAGTTTAAATAATTTGACTAAGTTCATATAACAGTAATAGCAAACACCTTTTCAGTACTAGGCATTAAAGTGTACCTTAACCTCAGAAACATCTCCGAGATAGGTAGTAGCTCCACTCCGTAGATGAGGGAATTAAATCATGATAAGCAACAGAGTTTGGACTAAAAAATCAAGTTTTTATGACTCAAGTCTACTATTTTTTTTAACTTCATAAAATACTAATAAAATGATTAAATCTTAGTTCAAAAGTATAAAGAGCATCTCTTCTCAAATATCATTTGACATTCTTGAAAGTAATATTTGTGTTATTACACTAGGGCCTTACTTTTAGAGGAATGCAAATTTGATATAGCTTAGTAAAAGGAAAGAAATTTGGTTAGGCCTTTATAAAATTTGCCCACATATTCCAGAACTCTTTACATTGCATATATAGTATTTGCAAATCAACAAATAATAAAGATGGGGGAAAGTGATTTAAAGTGACTTTAAAATAATTGGTGCATATGCAGGTAGGATTCCATTCAACCCTGAACAAGCATCAAAAATATAAAGAATGCCTGATTTGTGGTATTTGTGGTAGTGTTAGGACTTAAGATCTAAGTGCCAGTGGTTCTGTATCTAAAAGGTACAAAGGCCTTCAATTTATCTTTTAAAAAAATTATCAGCTCAGCATATTCAGCTTTTGATGTTGTGGTTGTAAGATTTTTTTTTCAAAACTGTCTTCATTATAATGCAGAAAGGATACTCTGGGTTCTCCAGAGAATACTGATGTAAACCAATTACAGGTGTGTATTGTGTGTGACAGTTACTTGTGAGGAGGCAGTATATTGCTCCTTTCTCTTGTCAAAATGTTTTCTTGTCTAACAGCCTTTGCAAAAAGTGTGATCACAAAATCAGCTGTCAGATAGTACTACATCTATTTTCTCCAGAGATTTTACTCACAGGCTCTAGGAAAGGCATAGAATGCAGGTGATTGAGATTTTTCTCTCCTCGGTAAATGCTTGGACTAGTTTCATTGGACAAACATCTGAGGGGACCATTAAGAGGCTTAAAATGTCTTTTCTTCTATCATAAAGCTCACCATCTGGTTGAAGAGTTAAGGTTCTTGTCTGCTGTACAAAGCAGAGTGTGACAACGCCTCGGAAAAGTTTGAATACTATGTTGAAATACAAGGTATGGGAATGCAAATTAGTACAGCCACTATGGAAAACAGTGTGGAGATTTCTTAAAAAGCTGGAAATAGAACTGCCATATGACCCAGCAATCCCACTTCTGGGCATACACACCGAGGAAACCAGATGTGGAAGAGATACGTGCACCCCAATGTTCATCGCAGCACTGTTTATAATAGCCAGGACATGGAAGCAACCTAGATGCCCATCAGCAGACGAATGGATGAGGAAGCTGTGGTACATATACACCATGGAATATTACTCAGCCATTAAAAAGAATTCATTTGAATCAGTTCTAATGAGATGGATGAAACTGGAGCCCATTATACAGAGCGAAGTAAGCCAGAAAGATAAAGACCATTACAGTATACTAACACATATATATGGAATTTAGAAAGATGGTAACGATAACCCTATATGCAAAACAGAAAAAGAGACTGCTATGTATAGAACAGACTTGTGGACTCTGGGAGAAGGCGAGGGTGGGATGTTTCAAGAGAACAGCATTGAAACACGTATATTATCTAGGGTGAAACAGTTCACCAGCCCAGGTTGGGTGCATGAGACAAGTGCTCGGGCCTGGTGCACTGGGAAGACCCAGAGGGATTGGGTGGAGAGGGAGGTGGGAGGGGGGACCGGGATGGGGAATACATGTAAAAAAAAAAAAAAGATACACTATGGTTGTGATAAAAAATAAATAAATAAATAAATTTAAAAAAAAAAGAAATACAAGGTAGATGCAAACTCCCTGTTATGAAGGTGGAGGCCTTTGGGGAGATGTTTGTGTCCTGGGCCACCTGGGCTGGGAAGACTTTGAAGAGGCACAGAGGGAGACTCTGCTGGGCAGGGGTTTAAAATCAGCAAAGGATAGCGTATTATCTAATAACGTTATGAATGTGTTGATAAAATACATATTATATATATTAATGTAACTGAGGCATTTTCATAAAATAGTTCTTAATTATATTATGTGGAATGCACTATGATTTTTTATCCTGTTTTTGTCTATTTTTTAATGTGATCTGCTAAGTTTATTTCATGACCCATATGAGTTGGATCTCATAGGTTGAGGAACACTGGACTGCACAAAGAGATACTGACACTCTAAATTCAGGGAATAACACTGTAAAGAAAGACACAAATTCTGTCAAAATTTTATAGATGGAAAAGTTGTTAGTTCTAGGATGAGCACTTTTTGCTGGCAGAGACTCTGAATGAATGAATGAATAAATTAACATTACTTGGGGAGTGACTCAGTAATGTGAAGTGAAGGAAAATCAACTATGTTGGAGTAATTAGAAAACCAGGGGGATTGCAACACTATTTACAGTAGTTAGAACATGGATGCAACCTAGTGTTCATCAACAGATGAATGGATAAAGAAGCTGTGGTACATATATACAATGGAATATTACTCAGCCATGAAAAGGAATACATTTGAGTCAGTTCTGATGAGGTGGACGAACCTAGAGTCTGTTATACAGTGTGAAGTAAGTCAGAGAAAGATAAGTATCATGTTCTAACACATATATATGGAATCTAGAAAGATGGCACTGAAGAATTTATTTGCAGGGCAGCAATGGAGAAACAGACCTAGAGAACAGACTCAAAGACGTGGTGGAGGGTCGGGGGAGATAGAGAGGGTGAGATGTATGGCGAGAGTAGCATGAACACTTACAATACTGCAGGTAAGATAGAGAGCCAGTGGGAATCTGCAGTGTGACTCGGGGAACTCAGACGGGCTCTGTGACAATCTAGAGGGTGGGATGGGAGGGGGGTTCAGGAGGGAGGGGACACACGTATACCTATGACTGATTCTTGTTGATATCTGACAGAAAGCAACAACATTCTGTAAAGCAGTTACCTTCAATTAAGAAATAAATAAATTTTAAAAAATGAAAAAAGAAAGCCAGAGGGCAAAGAATAGAAATCAAGATGAATGAGTTTTAAAAAGGAGTGAACAATGGTCAGTAAAACATGCTTTCGAAAGTCTGAGGTGGAGCACTAAAAATTCCAGACAAAGATCTGGTACTCCAGACATATAGGACTGTCAGGAAGGCATTTTCATGACTAGGAGTGGAAGCACTTATGGGTGTTGAGGAAGCTGCTGTGAAATTTGAGTTAGAATGAGGCACGTGGGATCTTCGTTGCAGCGTGCAGGCTTAATTACCCTGTGGCATGTGGCATCTTAGTTCCCTGACCAGGGATTGAACTCATGTCCCCTGCATTGGAAGGCAAGTTCTTAACCACTGGACCACCAGGGAAGGCCTACCACAATTTATCTATTCATCTGTCAGTGGACATCTATGTTGCTTCTATGTCCTGGCTACTATAAATAGTGCTACAGTAAACATTGGGGTATGTGTTGAATCCTAAATTCTTGAACACAGTTACAATTACCTGGGTCTTACGATATGGTCCCAGGTAATTAAACAATGAAAACCCATAAAAACATATTTATTTTTCCTATTTTAATGTTGACCTTTCCTATGGCTCAGTGGTGAAGAATCCTCCTGCAGTGCAGAAGAGGTGGGTTCCATCCCTGAGTTGGGCAGATCCCCTGGAGTAGGAAATGGCAACCCACTCAAGTGTTCTTCCCTGGGAAATTCCATGGACAGAGGAGCCTGGTGGGCTTTGGTCCATGGGGTCGCAAAGAATTGGACATAACTGAACGCTTAAGCACGCAACAGGGTTGTAATGTCAGTGTAGTAAAACTTTTTATAGGAATCTTTCCCTGATTGTCACTCCTAATTTTGGATGATTCACCTCTTCAGTGAAATCATATAGTATTTAGTACTTCTCCTATCAGACCTTATTCATATGTATTGTAAATTAGTATTTGTCTAACTTCTTCACCAGACCGTAAGTTTCATGAAGGTTCATCATTATACTAGTACTGCACCTGGCATAAGGTAGGCACTTGGTAAATTTCTGTTGAAAGCATGACCTGTGTTTAGACAGGTTTACTCCTGTGTCTAAAATCTGCCTTGCATATTTCATCCTTTTCTTCTTTTCTGTAATTTTATGTGCTTTGTACCTTGTACTGCTATAATATCCCACATCTTGTAAAACACAAATGTAGTTCCCGCCTACTCTATGAAGACTTCTTGCCTTAACTGTTCTTTCCTCTGGAATTCTGGTAACATTTACCTCATTTGGCATATATGTGCTGTCCTGTACATTCCCTCTTATGTGTACATATCTTATCTATTCAAGTCCTATATAACTGTGCCAGTAGGCAGGTGTTTATTACTTTAGTTCCTCTTCCTTATCCTTTGTGTTTACTTAGCTTTTAGTACAGAAGATTGTGCTGGTAACTTCGTGGGTAGCAAAAACGCACAGAACCAAGTCCTTGCCGTAAAAGAACTTACATTCGGGTAGGGAAGATGAGAAGAGAAGGAATACCTTTCTTTGGACAGTTCTTATGAATCAGGGATTTGGAGCAGCTTTTACACAGTTGATCTTACTGAACAAATACCAAGGGTATAGGGCAAGTGCAGCAGTAAGTAAGAAGCTGTATAAAGCGCTGTAGGATTGCATTCATTCAGCAAATATATTTTGAGGGTAGACTGTGTGCCAAGCACAATGATAAGTGCTAGTAATACAGAGTCTGATCTCTCATTGAGCTTACAGTTTTGTGAGGGATGCAGAAAAATAAACAGGCAACTACAGTATGGTATGATAATTCCCACCATGTGTAGGAATCCACTTTTAAGTACTTGCTTGGTTGAAGTTCTCAGTTTCACAGGGGAGGACAGGCAAATAAGCATCCAATTTTCTATCCATACAAATGTGCTATAATGTAAGATGTGCATGGAGCTTAGAAGCCAAGAAAAGGGACATGTCACTAAAGCTGGGAAGCTGGGTGGAAGTGGTATTTTGGCTGAGATTGGCAGGGTGATTTGGTCTTTTCAGCTGGATGAAAATGAGGGAAGTGTACTTTAGGCAGAGGGAACAATAGGGTTAAATGTGCATAATTAGAAGCAGCATGGCTCACTTGAAGTTATATTATGGCTGGAGCTTGAAGTTTAATTAGAATCACGATTAGAAGCAACATGGCTCTCTTGAAGTTATTATTGTAGGACTGGGGTGTGTTGAGGGTAGTTTCAGTGAAGGCAGTGGGAGTGATGGAAAGATAAGCACACAGGAAAGATAAGCACCACAGGACTTCTATAAGGAATCTTATCACACCAAATCCAGTTTAAATTCATTAACTGAGAATAGTGTAAGCTTAGACTTTGGGCTTAGGTTTCTACTTTTGATTTAGTTTATGGCCTCTGTAAAGTGAGAACTGTTAATCATTTCACAAAAATGAGATGAAACTATTTTGGGGAAAAAAGTGCCAAACAAAAAACCACTCTCTGTTTATTAGTAATTATTCTCTGTGACTGTAAAACTTGATTTCCCAAGATTTCTAAAGGGACACCTTGAAGTAAAAAATGTGTCCCAGTGGAGGCCTCTGTGATACTGTGCCAAGGTGTGATAAATAGTACATTTCTGGTTTCAGAGATTACTGGTTTAATGAGTGAAAGGAGTAGGAATCAGAATGGACTGAGGGAAACAAAGTGGTTTTTTGGTTTAACCATTCTTGAAGAGATCAGAACCACAAAAATCCTAAAAAGGTTGTGACATAGTCTTTGGAATTCCCAAATCTGGATTCAGTAAATTCTAGTGTTGTTTTAGGCTTGCATATAATGAATTACCATGTTTTCTCTTCTTTGTAGAAAGAAATTCAAGCCATGAGTCAGTGCCATCATCCTAATATTGTGTCTTACTACACATCTTTTGTGGTAAAAGATGAGCTGTGGCTAGTCATGAAGCTGTTAAGTGGAGGTGAGTAGAGTACAATGAAATGCCAACTTTCCTGGTTTGGAAAGTAAATACAACTGTCCTCTGTGGTTTGGTTTTCATGGACATGCCTTTGAGGAGATACTGAGGTTACAATATCTAACAATGCTAGTGTGCAAGGTGAGACAGGTTTTACATGTTGCATTTGGTTGTCACGCTTCTTCAATTTCTCTTAATCTAGGATGGTTCCCTCCTACTTCCTCTCTTCCATTTCACAAACTTATGAAAGGTCTGGTTTGGAGGGTCTATCTTGTAGGATGTTCCACATTCTGGCTTTATCTGGTTATTTCTTCCGGGTGATGTTTAACTTGATTTATATTCCTCTGTTTCCTACAAATTAAAAATTAGACCTAAAGGGTTGTTTGGACAGAGTATTTTGTAGGTGGTGCTGTGTACTTCATATCGCATCACGTCAAGAAGTAGTATTTGCTCTCCGGTTGTATCTTTAATAGTGATGTTGATTTTGATTGCTGAAGATTATAACAGCCAGGTCTCTCCATGGAAAAGTTGGCTTTATTTCCCTTTGCGGCTAGCAAGTAGTCTTTGGGATAATACTTTGGCACTGTGAGTATCCAGTTCCCCAAGTCTTTGATCTAATGATTTCTAATATCCATTAACAGTCCTTGATTGAATCAATTATTTTGTCAGAGATTGCAGAATGGTAGTTTTTTCTTTTTTTTAATTAACATTTATAAAGTGGCATTCTTCGCTGTAAAGGAACTTTGCCATATTAACTGGGACTTTTTGATTATTCTATACTGTAATTCCTACTTAAAGAAAGTGAAGTCGCTCAGTTGTGTCGTGTCTGACTCTTTGCGGCCCCATGGACTGGAGTCTACCAGGCTCCTCTGTCCATGGAATTTTCCAGGCAAGAATACTGGAGTGGGTTGCCATTTCCTCCTCCAGGGGATCTTCCCAACCCAGGGATTGAACCTGGGTCTCCCGCATTGCGGGCAGTCACTTTAGACAGGATAAATGTGTATTTTTAAGAACCAATTTTCACAGTAAAGAATTAGTTTAATAATCACTGCCAGTGATTTTTTTTCTTTTTTCCCATTGAGTGATGCTTTCTTTTTTGAAGTATTACTATATAAACTCAAGGATTTTTTTTTCATATATTCAGCGCCTTTCAATCGGTTACACTTTTTTTTTTTTTGATGCTCAGGTTATTCAAAATTTTGTTAGTGGAAGTCTCTTCAAACATACTGTGGTGTCCTTTTGACATGATCCATCAATCTTTGATAACCTTGATTTTTGGTTCAGTATAAATGGTTCGCATTTTTTTTTTTTTTGAAAAATTATTCACCACTTTTAATAATAAAGGGAAATAGATTCATATATAAACGTGGAACATATATATGGAACAACTGTTATTGTTTAGTCACTAAGTTGTGTCTGACTCTTTTTGCAACCCCATGGACTACAGCCCACCAGGCTCCCCTGTTCATGGGATTTCCCAGGCAAGAATACTGGAATGGGTTGCCATTTCCTTTTCCAGGAAATGGTTTGCATTTATGTTGCTTTTCTCAGAATCAACCAATATTCTAAGGAGCCCTGATCCTTTTTATGGGGAATGGTATTCAGAAAGCATAACTTGGATATCTGAGTACTGCTACCATTTTGTCCGTGCTTCTGTTTGGAAGAACTTGGAAATACAGAATATTAAAACAAATCATAATTTGACATTAGTATTTCCAATTCAGATTTAACATTGCAGACCTTTAAAACTTTAAAAATTATACTCAAATCTCTTTTCTCTCACACAGAAAATCTTGGTCCCCCATATTAACATAATTATGTACTATATCCTGCACTATTGTGTATACAATTATTTCTGCTTTAGTCCTTAGAATAAAATGTAAGTATTGCTAGTTGCAAACAGTGGACCCTTAGTATGTATAGATTGAAAATTTTGTTATGGTTACCCAGAAGTCCATGCCATGTAATAAATTGGACATTTTGCTACATCATGGATTTGAATGATGTGGCGAGATAGGACAAGTGAGTGATGGAGCTGCCCAACTTTCCCATCACTTTGCTGCTTGTTTGCATACATATTTAACATGGGAGCATTATTTTCCATTTTCAGTTGTAGTGTAGGATTACAGGAAAGAGAATCCATGTTTGTTATTTTAATACCATTACTCATTGAACACCTTACTGCCCCAGAGAAGCTTTAAAGAAAAGTCTGTAGGCTTTAGAACTAAATTCTAGATTTTCTACTTGGTGGTTATGCCTCTAGGCAAACTCTTTGAACCTATTTACTTGTCTGTTAAATGGGGATGCCTTTCCTGCATTTCAGGGTTTTGGGGAGGAGTAAGTGAGATGACTGTGTAAAGCATCCATCACTGTGCTGACATGTAGTATGTGCACAAGAAATTTTAGTCATTGATAATAATGAGCCCTTGTTATTTGATGCTTTTCAGTGTAGCCAGAATCACCTTTTTCTTTCAATCCCATTAGTGACACACTGGAGAAACTGGATTGCTTTGTTAAAGGCCCTGTTCATATGATGGTTGGAAGCCTTGCTAACACCAACCACCTTTCAAGATGGTGGTCGAGCATGGTTCTTTCAGTATGGACAGATATGGCAATATTAGGTAATACTGTGTCTTTCGTTATTGATCACCTATAGCATAATTTTCTTTATATGTAATTTGCAAAATGTGTAATACAGAGTTTTTAATGTTTTGCTAAAAAGTCCTCTGATGAATAGGAATAAATTGTCTGCTTGAGTCTCTCATCCATAGCTGTATGCCAGTCCATCCTTTCTGCTTCTTATAAGCAGAATGCCTTAAAAAATTTTTTTTGGTTTGTTTTTAAAGAATTCTCATTCCTCTCTCAGTGAGTATATGTCCTGATCACAAGGCAGGATGTGATATATGTATCTGGGTGGGATGTCTTTGAAATGTACCTTTTTGTTCTTCCGGGTCTTAAGTTTCCTGGGATGGTGCCCAGTTTTTCCAGCATAGCACTCAGCAAATTTCCTGGACAATAATTTTCAAATATGTTCCAAGCATTAATTGTTTTAAAAATTACTTTTAATTTTATGAGTCAACGTAACCTTACATCTAAATGTTTACTTTACAAATATTAAAAATTTTGCATCTTTCTTAGGAAAGTGTAATCTCTTTTAGTTTTAAAGTGAACACATTTAAACTGAAGAGATGCATTAAGCAATATGTAGAAAACAAAAAATAGAACCAAGCATGACAAAAAAAACTTTTTTTAAATAGGAGGGAACTGTCAAGATAGCTCAGTTAAAATGCCTTTCATTAAAAAAAAAAAAAATGCCTTTCATCAAATACTTATTGATTACCAGTACATTGGTGAATCAGTCGGTCAGTTCCTTGCTCTTATGGGTCTTATAAGAAAAAGTTGTAATTAAATAATTATAAGTGTGTAGAGTACCATGAGGAAGTATCAGGTATCATGGGAACAAGTATCAGGAGAACCTAACTATTGAGGGAGAATGGCTGTGATGGGATAGAGACCACCTTCAGGAGGTGATGTTTTTCAGAAGACTCGAAGAATAGGTAATAATTAGCCAGGTGACATGGATGTGGAGGTGGTATCAGGGGAAAAATGGGAGAAAGACCCAGAGAGAGGGAACGCTGTACTGGGGGTGAGTGGAGGCAAGATGGAGGAGAGTGGTGTGTCTTGGGATCTGATAAGGAGATCACAGCTGGAGCAGAGAGAGTGAGAGGTGGGGACCACTGAGAAGCAGGGGCTCTATCTGAATAATTTAAAAATGTAAACAGCCAGAGTTAACACAAGTATGCGTAGGCTGCATTCTTTCATATTACCTTTTCCTTTCACACCAACTTTTCCAACCAAAATATTTAAAATGCATATTTTTGATTTAGCAACATTGTACTGATATAGAATTTAATAATCTAATTAAATTGTAAAATGAACTGCAACTGGCACTCTTAAGCCCATGGACCAGGAGGACATCATGGTTAAAATAAGTTGAAATGTGCCTATTATAATTATTTTGTAATGCTTTCTTATAACTATGATATTCTTATCTTTTATTAATTAAATAATTGGAACTCATGTTGAATGTTGAAATTTATTAGTATAGAAGGTTAATCTTTAGAAATTAGAACCACTTTGTATCTAAATAGCTATTTCTAGCATTTATTAGCACCAAACTGCAATATAAGATTTTTAGAAATCAAAGTAATTAAGAAAGTTTCTGAAAGGAAAAGATAAAGAAGAATCTGTAGGCTTTAAAGGGAGGAACTATAGAAATGCAGAAACCTAATTTAAATTCACTGTCTTAGTGAATTACTTTGTGATTTAAGGATGCTTTCATCTTTGTCATCTTCTGAGAGAGAAAAAGTATGGGACTTATTGACCCTGAGCATGACCCAGGTGAAAAATACATGGTATTGTGAGTGACCAATTTTGGATGGTCAAATAACAGTGAGGGTATGTCTGCTGATCAGAAATGGAATACCCAGAGCAAGCAAATTTTGGCTTCTTTTAAAACTTATATGGCTTAGGAAGACATAAGCAGCACCCAGTGGCTTAAGATTGATTAAAACTTGGTAAAAATACTGGTAACTAAAATAGGTGAATTAATTTTGGACATAGAGTGTTTTTTCATAAAAATAAACTGAGGAAATAAACATATTGACAGAGTGATTAATTCGATTGAGCTATAATTGTCAGATTTAACAAATGTCTTGAACCAGCAACTGCTTCACCACTTTTTCAATAGCATTTTAATGTTTAGTAATGATTTTCTTGGACAGTAAAAGTTTTCACTTTTTTTTAAATGTTCTGTGCCATAGACTATGAAGGCAGATGTGAGATAGTTTGGGGAGTAGATGATCTACACTCTAATTTTTTGCTTTATTAAAAAATTTGTACCAAATCCCTCTTGTTTTCCATTATTTAATTTACTTGCTTTTACTTTAAAAAATTCTTGGGTTTCAGTGGACAATCTAGGTTGTTAAAGTGCAACTTTTTGGGCCCTACATCAGATCTCTTGAATGGCAATCTATAAGATCTGGGAATCAGCATTTTTAGCTAGTTTGCTAAGTAATTTCTTAATGTATTAAAGTTTGAGAACAGATTATCCCTATAGAACACTTCTTCCAGATTATGCCCAAGGACATAGTATTCTATATGCTGATATAGGCTTCCTTCATTGTTCCTTTTCTTTAAATATTAATTTGAATCATTCAGTGATAGTTTTCTTTTGCTTATACCTTCATCTTTCTCTTAGTTTATATGAAGAATTATATATAATTTCGATATTTCAAGAGGGAGGATCGTAGGGCATTGTGTAAGATGCTGCAAGATGCTGAGGAAATCGTATTGGAAAGAAGGGGGAACCTTCCAGGACCAATTTTGTCAGTTAAGGATGTAGATCTTAGTGGCATGATCATCCCTCACCTATAAAAATCATATTGTTGGGAAACTAAAACTGAAAAGACAAGTTATCCCAGGGAAGAAGGGGCTTCTTACATAGCCTTGTTTGGTATATCCATTCTGGGCATAAACTGGGAATGTGCGTTGCTTTAATTTCCCTATTAATCACTGGGTGATGTGAAATTAATAGAAATCTAAGATTTTTGAAAAGGAGTTCCTGCTTCAGACTCATTTAAAATGCATATCTGGTGACTTTGATGTGCCCTAGGCTGTTTGTTGCCCCATTTCTTTGATCTACCAGACTAGAAGGTCCCTGAAAGTCAGCAGTCATGCTCTGTGGATCTGGACACATACTCTGTGGCACCTAGTTCTAGATCTCATATAATATGACTTAACTATTGAATGAAAAAATTGTGATTTGAATTCCTAGTAGGAGTTTTTCCCTTTGCATTCCTTATTTTAGATATTCTTTACATTACAGACATTTAACTCAGTTGGCATTTGTATATATGTTTTCTTACTGAACAGTTCTTAATGTGGCCTGGATTTCTCAGAAGAATGAAATACCTGGCCAGTTGGTGTAGTCACTTTGCTCTGGGGGTCAACGTGTGATTGGTTAAACTAAACAGAACAAAACTTGTTCCTTAGTTCCCCTCTTTGTGGATCATAGTCTTATGAATCCCAGAAATAAAGAGGGAGAAAATCTTTAAAAAGTTACCAAGAATCTGAAGTCTCCCATTATTTGTTTACAGAGAAGAAACAGCCTGTCTCCTGCTAGAGGTGGGGCATGGTAGTTGCCTTGCTTTCTAGGATGGGGAGGGTGGGATCTGGGAATCTTAGTCTGCTTTATGTGAGCTTTCAATCAGTTTTCATATGTTCAGACCTTTCCATCAGTTCCTCCTCACATCCTTATATGTGGTTTAAGGTGTTTGTGTTCTGAGCCTTTCTGGAGCTCAAGATCTGTGTTTTCCTAACTGATACACCTCCTCTGCAGGCACTGAAGTTTCCAGTTTTCCCCCTCTGCATACTCAAAGTTACTTTTTCTCCTTTCTCTCTTTCAGAAAATTAATGATGTATCTCTTCTGTTATCTTGTTTTCTTTTTTATTCTGGATTTATGCCCTTTTTATCAGGCTTATCAAGTTAGTGAATTTCCAGTGGGAGCTGAAGTAAATGTGTTCAGTTCTCTCATGTTTTCAAGGATTTCATCTAGACCACTTCTTTCTGTCTATTGGAAATATATTTTTTTCTTTTTAAGTGTGTGCAATAAAAAACACCCACCATGGCAAGTTTTCAATAGAAACATTTGCCAAGAAGTGGACATTCAGTCTTTTCAGTGTACTTTATGTTATATTCCAGACTCCTTGGCACAATTTTTAATATTGGAGATTATTTTGTTTTGGTTCTCTGATCTTTATGGGCCATTGTACTGCCAGAAATTCTACTGATCTCTAGCAAGCTTTTTTTTTTATGGTAGATAACATTCTGTGATTCTAATTATTATGTGCTTAGTCACTCAGTCCTGTCTGACTCTTTGCAACGCTAAGGACTGTAGCCTGCCAGACTCCTCTGTCCCTGGGGATTTTCCAGGCAAGAATACTGGAGTGGGTTGCCATGCCCTCCCCCAGGGAATCTTCTCAACCCAGGGATCGAACCCAGGTCTCCCACGTTGCAGGCAGATTCTTTACCAGCTGAGTCACCAGGGAAGCCCTTAATTATTATGTTGGTGTGTTTTCCCTCCCTCTGATTTTTAGTAGGAATATCATTTCCCATCCTGGGAAGAATGAGATTGATAATACATCTAGGCTTTTATTTAAAGAGAACCTCCACTTTTATTCCTTGCATGTTTTTTTTTGCCTTACCTGTTTTATTTCTATTACTTATTAACCTGACATATAATTTTAACCTTTAAATTAGTTTGCATACACATGTAATAATAAATTTGACCTGCATTTCAGTTGTGTTTTATATCTTTATTTAAACAATGTTGCATACTCTAATCTGATGTTCGAAACCTAAATTGGTTTGTTAGATCTTTTGCTAGAGTGTTATTGACAGATATGGTTTACCTAGGGATTCTTCAGAGGTGATTTTAAAAATCCTCTATTACCTTTTTCAAATTCTCATTGGATGTCTAAAGAAGATGCTGGTGTAGCACTTCTATTTGGATATTAGCAGGTTGCTTTCTGTTTTAGAGTAGAATTAATATATTAATTTTAAACTTTTATATTTCTTTGTATTTTTTCCTTCCTTTCCTACACAGCTAAGTTTATGAGAAGATTTACATGTGTTTTGATTTTTAAATGGCTCTAAATTATATTGAATGAGTTAAAAAATTATGGAAAACTGTTTCTTCTCTTTTCAGGTTCTGTTCTAGATATTATTAAGCACATTGTGGCAAAGGGGGAACATAAAAATGGAGTCCTGGATGAAGCTACCATTGCTACAATACTCAAAGAAGTGCTGGAGGGTTTGGAATACCTGCATAAAAATGGACAAATTCACAGGTATGTAAAGATAGCACTCTTCTCTTTTGGATAAGTGCAGCAGTAGTTAATAGTGTTTCCTTTCATTGAGGCTATTCCTTATTCTTTGGCACAGTTACTCATAATCTCTGAGTGTTAGCAGGGCTCTTGGTATTATATTATTAGTTCCAATACACTGTGGTTACACAGCTAGTAAACATTTAGAAAATAACAAATGCTCTAGTCAACTTGGAAACTCCAAAAATAAATTCCTAATTTCCTACCAGGAGTCAATTGCCTTAATCAACTGATAACAGTTTGGAATATTCCTTTCTAATTTGTTTTATATATTGGGTATTTTCTGAAATTATTAAAAGCTTTTGTAAGATAACTTTTAAAATTAAACATTGTTATTTTTTTAAATAAAATAACATTTGAAGAGCCATGTAGCATTTCATGGCTCAAGTATTTCTGGCTCTTTATATCTATTCAGTCCCTGTGTACGGATGACAAAAATTGTTATCTGTACAAATGGTTATAGATTCTGTTAGTACAAATTTGTTTAGTCCTTGGATTTGGTTTTCCTTCATTTGAAGATATATTTATTTCCCCATCATTTCTTGAGGATAGTTCCCCTGGATATAAGAATTTGTAGTTTACATTTCTTTTCTTTCAGCACTTGAAAGATATGTTACTTAATTCTGGCCATCATGGTTGCAGATGAGAAATCTGTCATGTGAATTGGCACAAATATGTTGCTTTTCTCTGGCTATTTTCAAGATTGTTTCTTTGTGGGACTTCCTGGTGGTTCAGTGGTTTAAGACTGTGCTCTCAATGCAGAAGGCACAGGTTCAGTATCTAGTTTGGGAACTAAGATTCCCCCCCATGCTGCACGGCCTAGCAAAAAAAAAAAAAAGCAATTGCTTTCTTTATCTTTGGTTTTCAGAAGTTTAATTATGATGTGTCTTAGTGTGGATTTCTTTAGGTCTATCTAGTTTGGAGTTCCCAAATTTCTTCAATCTAGGTTTTTGTCCTCACCAATTTTGGGAAGTTTTCAGCCATTATGTCTTTGAATACCTTTGTAAGCTATTTTCCTTCCTTTTTTTCTGGGACTCTAATGATGGAAATGTTAGATCTTTTGTTGTTGAACCTATATTGTACCATAATCCTTCTGGCTTGGTTTTCAGCCTATTTTTTTCTGTGTTTAAATTGAGTAAATGTTCTTGATTTGCTTTCAAGTGTGCTGATTCTATCCTCTGTCCTCTCCATTCTATTCTGGAACCCATTCCTGGAGCTTTTATTTCTGCTAGTGTAAGTTTTCAGTTATATAATTTTTATTTGGTTCTTTTTACATTTTTTATTTTTTTGCTGAGATTTTCTGTTTTTCATTTGAGAATTTCAAATTGCATATTAGAAGCATTTTTATGGTGGCTGGTTTAAAATTCTTGTCAAATGGTTCCAACATCTGATTCTTCTTCATGTTGATATCAATCTTTCTGTTCCTGTTTCTTTTTGGCCATGACATGTGGCATGCAGGGGCTTAGTTCCCCGCCAGGGATTGAACCTGTGCCCCCTGCATTTGGAGCAGAGTCCTAACCACTGAACTGTCAGGAAAGTCCCTTAGATGTCTTTTCTTATGAATTTTTTCTGGTTATTGGTATGTTGAATACTTTTTTAAAATTGTATCATGGATATTTTGGATATTGTGTTAGAAGACTTTTGATCCTATTGAGATAATGATATATTGAAGTAATATATTTTAACAGGCAATTTCCCTGATTTTGATAGCCCTCACAGTGGTGTTCTGGTTTGTTTTGTGTATGTAGCACTAGAGGCTCTCTTCTCGATTCTTGCTGATGCCACCCATGGGAGTAGAGTGCACTTGCCCAGGCCTGCTGCTGCTAGGTGGAAGGTGGGAGAGAGTGGCTGTGCCTGTGAGTCTGTGAACACTTCTTTGGGCTCACCTTATGGCCTGCCACCTGATGCTAGTTGGGCTCCCGTTCATTCTCTGGTATTGCCTGTGGACTTGAAAGGCACATTTTCTAGGTCACCTTTTGCTACTGGGTGAGGAGTTGGGAGACACTGGGTCTCAGTCATCTATTGCCACTGAGTAGAGGAGCAAAAGGTACCAGACCTGGGTCACTCTCAGCTGCTGGGTGGAAGAATGGGAGGTATTGGCTGGGCCTGTCAATGGTGCTGGTATAGGCAGCATGGACCTGTCTACACTAGATGTAGATTGGACAATGAGTGAAGTTTCCTGTCTGATCTTCATTGGCACCTCTGGTTCTGGCCTGATTGGTCAGTCTGCGCCTCTATAGTCCAGCTATGTAATCAAGGATGAGGTCCCTGCTAGGTTTGGTACCTCTTTGGCCACAGAGAGCAGGCTTAGAGCTTTTTTTTTTTTTTTTTGATCTGTACTTGTTGACAGTTCTGGGTTGCAAGACTATAATACCCATTCCGGGATATATGAGATGAAAAGAAAACTCAGGGAAGTGGTATAGTACTATGTGAAAGTGGGCTTGAATTCATTGTAAATGTATAGAGCAGACTCTAGTGAAAACCACTAAAAAAGGAAAAAAAGAATATGCTAAGAGAGGAGAGAAAAATAGAATTACATAAAATGCTCAGTTAAAATCAAAGAAGGCAGAAAGAGTGGAAGAACACAACAAGAGATATGTATATACCTTATATATATATCTATATCTATATATATATATCTTTAGAATCACTTACTTTTAAGGAACTACAAAAAGAACAGACTAAGCCCAGAGTTAGCAGAAGGAAATTAAATAAAAACATCAAGAGTGAAAATATATAAAATAACAGACTAAAAAGACAGTTGAAAAGATGAGTGAAACTAAGAACTGGTTTCTTAAAAAGACAAATAGATTGTTAGCTAGACTCACCAAGAGAAAGAGAGGACTCCAGTTCAGAAGTGAAAGAGGAAACATTGCAGCTTACACCACGAAAATATGAGATCATCAGGAGACTACTGTGAACAGGTATATACCAACAAATTGTAGCACCTAGAAGAAATGGGTAAATCCCTAGAAACATAGAATCTACCAAGACTGAATCATGAAGAAACAGAAAATCTAAACAGACCAGTTACTACTAAGGAGATCAAATCAGTAATCAAAAACTCCCTAACAGAAGTCAAGGACCAATAATTTCACTGGTGAATTTTACTAAACATTTAAACAGGAACTTTATAATCCTTCTCACAGTCTTCCAAAAACTAGAAGAGAAGGAAACATTACAAACTCATTTTACAAGGCCACCATAGCAAAGCCAGACGAAGACTCTAAGAAGATTACAAGGTAAACCTATATGCAAAGGTCCTCAACAAAACATTAGCAAACCAAAATCAGCAATACATTAAAAGGATCATGCACGATGATTAAGTGGGCTTCATTCTAAAGATGCAGGGATGGTCCAGCATATTCAAGTCAATGAGTATAGTACACCGCTTTAACACAATGAATGATAAAATCTTGATCATTTCAGTGTTGTTGCTTTTTAGTTGCTAAGTCGTTTCCAATTCTTTTGCTACCCTATGAACTATAGCCCGCCACACTCCTGTGTCCATGGGATTTCCTAGGCAAGAACATTGGAGGGGTTGGCATTTCCTTCTCCAGGTGATCTTCCCGACCCAAGGATCATACCTGTCTCTTGTATCTCCTGCCTTGGCTGGCAGACTTTTTACCACTGCACCACCTGGGAAGCCCTCCAAGGCTGACGGCTCTACTCTTTTCCTTTTCATTTCTGAAGCTTGAAGATTTCCATTTTTTATTTCATATTGAGTTATGTGACAGTATTCTCCCCTAATTTATCCAGCATTTTTCTTTGTGTTTGGCACAAAGAATGGTGTGTTTTAGGGCCAAGGCCTGTGTAGTAAGTGATGAAAATCTGTTTGCCGTGTTGTTGCAATAGAAATTCTCTTATACATTAAATCAGAGGTCCTCAACATTGGCTTCATATCGGAATAACCTGGGAAAGTTTACTAAGTACTGATTACTAGATCTACTGCCAGAAATTCATTTAAGTGATTTGTGATGAGGCCTTGGCATTGGGACTTTTGAAAGCTTCCCCAGAGATCCTTGTATGCAGCCAACGCTAAAAACCCTACTTAACACTTCAGCTGAGCTGCACTGAGACTTCAGTAGGAGAAAGCTGGGAGAAAGTTGTTTCACTGGGAAGCAGACATGGATGTTTTCAGTAGATTTTGTTACTTGCCATATCTTTAGAGTCCAATTGTTATTTCAGATAGATTTGTATCAGTCTGCTGGATTAGGTCAAATAATTTTACTCTGTCTCTACTGTGTTTTCTCCTTGACACCCGAGGCTTTAGAGGTTTCTACTAGAGTGAACAGGTCTCTAAATTAGAGATACACTTTTCTCTCTGTATCTATGTACCCAAATATGTTTTCCTATTTAAAGGGGTTAGCTTTAACAGAAATGGTAGAGGTTTAGTCAGTTTAAGATGCATAAATGTAGTGTATTTTTCAGCTTTGTTATGATTCATTTCTTCTCTTGAACTGTGCCTATTATTGGGCTTCCCAGGTGGCATTAGTGGTGAAGAGCCAGCCTGCCAGTGCAGCAGATGTAAGAGACACGGGTTCAATCCCTGGGTTGGGACGATCCACTGGAGGAGGAAATGGCAACACACTCCAGTATTCTTGCTTGGAGCATCTCATGGGCAAAGGGCTCCAGTCCACAGGGTCACAAAGAGTCAGACATGACTGAAGTGACTTAGCACGTAGCACATGGCATGCCATTTGTTGAGTCATGAAAATGTAATGGGGAGAAACTTGTTCTGTACTTTTAATTTTAAGTTTAATTTTAAGAGGAATTTGCAACTTTTGTGTAATAGTGACATGTGAGAAATGGCATCAAGCTGTGAAAAATAGAACTTGCTGTTCTTGCTATTTAAGAGTGGTTGGAGGATATAACTGGGGGCTGGTGGGTTGCTTGATATTCTTTGAGATGAAGTTTAAGAAAAAAAAGGACTATTATATTGATTTCCAGATATTTAGTTACAA